GTCTCATAGACTGCCGCTCAGGCTAATTAATGAAAGTGCAGTCTGTAGCACCTGTCTGCCTTCTTGCAGTCATTTCCTACAGAGGCAGTCCTCCTCCTCTTCTTTCATCTTCTTTTTCTTTTAGTCCAAACAAAGGAAGGCAGCAAACCAGCAGGAAGTTCTACTTTGTTCTGATAAGATAAATATCCTTGTGTASTATGTGCACTTAAGTATACCGAAATACCATCTATGTGTTTGTTTCTTTTGAGGAGTGGAAAAACTGTGACTTCACGCCCCTCTCAGCAAACAGAATCCACTTTCTCCACGACCAGCTTGTCAGAYGTAATAACGGCACATTCACACCCTCGCTTCGGACTGCCATCTGACAATAAACCAACACTTAAAACAACATTTGTTCAATCACTGCTCAGTAAATTACACCCTTTGCTTATGGTATAATAACTCACACCAGATGAAAAAAAAACTGCTACAATTACAGAACATATGGGGCTATGATTCATTTGTTTTGAATGAGGCATATTGGCTGCCATATTGCATTTGCATAATGTGGCTCTGTGACGCCTTGACTAAAGCACAAATAAACTATGAAATTAGACAGCCTTATTTTTTTTTCTTCATTAAAATTCTTCATCCTCCAGATTTCAAATTCTGGGAATTTGAAATGGCTGGTGACAAACATAGTCTTAAATCTTAGTCTTAAATCTAAAAACTGATGGTTAAGTGTAAAAATTTTGAATGGAAAAACCAGTTTCACCACCAAAACAATAATATGGCGGACAAATCAGTGGCGGATCTAGGATTTTTCTGAATAAGGGGCCTTCAAGGGGCCACAAGATTCTTAGAGGGGCCAAACACTTATTAAACATCTTTGTACACAAATCTCTGATTTTGATAAGATGTATGCATTTAACTAGTCACATGTTTAAACACTTGTCATGTAATTTAAAAAATCTTGCATGTATATTCTCCTTAMAAGTTTTACATGKATTTTTACTGTACATAGATCAAAAAMACTCAAACACACAGCATCTGACTCATTAGCACCTCTAGTGTTTGAACATGGAACTGCACCTGCCATCATTACTCTTGGGCAAAGGACAGATGAGTGACAGGAGAGGGGCACTTCAGGGGGCCAATCAGATTTCAGCTGGGGCCAAAGCCCCTGTGGCCCCGCCCCTAGATCCGCCCCTGGGACAAAGTGCCTTGAGGTGATACAGGAAATTATTTGTGGCGTGAGCTGAGCATCATGAACTGAAACACTAGAACTTAAATTCAACAGTAAAGGTATAAACACTAAATCCACAGCATTCAAAAGAATGGATTCATGAGTGACAATAATCATTTGCTTAACTCTATATTAACATTTTAGTATCTTGCATTATTTTAAATCACCTCGATTTCATAACACTATCATTTTGCGACTCACCTGTCTTAAAGATCTCATATCGGATGGAGAAACCTGCTCCGTGGGTCTCGTAATCAGACACAAACTTGATGAACAGTTGATTACCCGAGGAGACGACCGGCGAGGGGGCGATTTTCCCACAGTACTTCCCTACCAGCTGACCGCTCTCGTCCACGCCGTCTCGCACCTCCACGTAGTCGTACCTGAAATGATCACAACAGACGCAGTGTTACTGACATGGTGCCGACACGGGGAAATACAAGAACCATAAAGAAAAACAATCCACACGCATTCATTCTCAGAGGACTCCAAACAGCAAGCAAGACAGCATATTGTGTAGGTAATGTAGTGGAAATAAAACACTGTGTGCTAATGAGGTCTCAGGTTAAAACTGCGAACAGGTGGGGAAGTTATATTCTTTCATCATCCTGACACGGGCGCACACACATTCTGAGGTGGTTTTCTGCTCCCAGCAGCACAGAGGTTGGAATCATCCAACTGCTTTAATGACTAAACTCGCCTGAATAGTTGTCCGTGTTAACCACAGAGTAGCACTCTGTAAGTGTTTCTGATCTATGAGGAAGAAATGAGCCTAAGGCCTCATTAAATTCTGGTTTTCGGCGAGTGTTTAGAAAGAGCAGGTGTTAAAGGCATTAAAAACTCACTTTCAAATGGAATTTCAGACCCACAGCTTTTTAAGGGAGCACTCGAAAATGAGTCAGTGCAAAGCTGAGAAGCCAATGAGGTGGACGGCTTTGTGAGAAGAAGCACCACGGCACAAACACATCCCTGGGGTCTGGCACGCAAACCTAAAGCTGGTATAGAGGAACGGAAGCATCTGGACAATGATGGTGGTCTAAACAGCTTCTGGTTATTGGAGCGAGTGCGYGCGCATGCTTTCAGGCACTTGTTAAAAGTGTACTTTTAAATGTGTTTGATTTGTGGTTTTTCACTCCAGCGGCTGCCTGTGAGTGCGTGCGTGCGTGTGACTTTGAAGGATGGGTCCAGACGAGTTTTCCGTGCCGTGTTTTGATTGTGAGCGACAGGGCCTAGCTGTGCTCCAAAAGCAGATATTTGGGTTCAGGTTTCCACTGTTTCTAATTGCTCATAGTGTGAATTCCTGCCAGGGTTTCAGCTCTGCGGGCTACTTATTCAACGCTTTCCTGGCCGAAACTGCCACCTYGTTTCTACATCATCATCAGGAACCCGGTGAATTAAGCACGATTCGGAAAAGTCAAGACAGTAATTAATTTTGACGTATGCGTGTGCACCATGCAGCAGGTGTGTGKTCACGTTCAGTCATACCAATGCTCTTTCTGACTCCACAGAAAATATGCAYCCTATGGGCAAAGGAGACCCATTTTCATAGTTTTGCATGATTCCCAATTTGCTGTCAAAACATCAGGTCTYTTTAGTGATTCTGAACCCACTTATTGCAAAGCTTCTTTTTCCACAAAAATGGTGATTTACACTCTGAATGGCAGTACTGTTGGGTTAAATCCCCCAGGTGGGGTTTGACATGCATCAACATGAAGCCATCCTCACTTCTTTTTTCTTTTTTCTAAACATTATTTTCACCTGTGTCAAAGTGAAAAGAAGGGAATTCTGATTATTASAGAGGATTTAGGGAAAATTGAGAGRAGTGGAAGAAATATTAARATGACCTGAAGGATTTGRGTAGCAAGAGGAGAACAAAGCAKCAAAGCTTAAAATTGTGTCCTGACAAGAACTATAGTGAATAAACAACCTGATTTTTGACGTTTTCAAAAGACAAGATCACCAAAAAAAGTTAATTATATCTCACTAGGAATGGGGATCTCCTCTTAGGCTATTTTTTAAAACACTATGCATGACTATGTCCGCTCCACACCTGTGTGCATACAAACTCTGGTATTAGCTTCATTGGTTTCAATCACAGTGTGCTGGCTTAGCTGTGTTTAAACAATATAATTTGGGAAAATGGTGTCAAACTCCACCAAATATTGTGCTAYAGTACTTGTRACAGTGACTCAGGATAAGCCATCAGCCCCTCATGGAAGGAGTATGTTTTTGTCAGTTTTCCCAAGCTAAGATGCAGTCTAAGACTACGTTCACACTGCAGGTCTTGATGCTCAAATCTGATTTATTCTTTTTTTTTTGCAAAAATCTGATTTATTTATTTATTTCTTTGCAAAAATCAGATTTTGTTTTTCAATTCCCCGGATGTTTCAGCTGAACTTTCTTGTATTTCCTGTTGAATGTGTCGAAATTCACTCTAAGAGTGTCTTTTTCTGYTATGATATTACCAGTGAATGCTTGCACAGGCTTGCATGGCTTGTCCAATCATTTGAGAGAGAATGATGTCATGATTGGAGATCGCCACTGGACAAGCTTTTGCTTATTTGTGGTTCTAAGTTACCTTATAGTGGACAGCAACTCTACTGACACAATATTTCCTCAAAACAAACAGTAAAAATTGTAGACATATGAGGGGAGCMCTCAAAGATAGCTGCTCAAACAAAAGAACATAGAAAGAACCATTTGCACAACAGAATGGTTTGCCTATGTTGGGCATAAAGAGTGAATGTTGTGTCCAGCTAAGAACCATGACTGTGCTCAAGTAACGGGCTCGACACACGGGAGGCGACGTCGCTCGCTCTCCATTCATTTCCTATGGAGCCTGTGCGGTGAGGCGACAATCGCTTGCCCGCCTCCAGCTAAGCGACCGGCGAAAATAGTGCATGTGAAATTTCGCGCTCATACACGTACACGTGCACACGCGAGCTTGCGACGCGACATATGAAAGTTGAAAAATGTTCAACTTTTGTCACTGTCGCTTAGCGACCAATCAGCGAGGGTTTCATTGGCTGACCAATGAGAGGAGAGTATGCTACACACTGCCGTTAGCTAACACTTTCACCAAGTGATTACTAAAAAAGGCAGCTTTGTGGGTATTTGTTGGCACCAGGGTGAAGTTTATGATAAGTTTTTCCTCATAAAATTGTATCTTGATGTGCATTTGTTTTTCAATATCATTAGAATCGCAAGATTTGTTTAGTTTACACGTCCRTAATGCACACCCGCCTTCAGAGTCAAGAACCAATCAAATTTTGTGAAGACAAGCGATCTGAGAGCGCGATTCGCAACGCTGCAATYGCTATTGCGTCCCATGTGTCGGGTTTCACCCAGGCTGCGATGACAGCCGTTAATCGYTGTAGTTTGTCGCTCCCCGTGTGCCGAGCCCTTAATGGGAAAGAAGGCATAAATCTGTTTAGTTTATTATTACAAAAGACACAAACACAAGCCAAATATAACCAGTATAATCAGTTTTTTGCATGGCTGTGGCTCAGTGCAGTAGTTTTTCAACAAGTGAGTCGGAGGTTTGATTTTACCAGTACGCAGTCAAATGACAAAGTGTTCCTAGGGAACACACTGAACATGAAAAGTGTTTGTTCAAATAACACATTTCCAATATTCAAAACACCCATTACATTGGATTACATTTGTAATTAGTTTTTCTACATTGCTGTAAATGCTTTTAGTTTAAGAGAGAAAAGAACCAATCTTCTGGGAGAAGAGTTCACCAACTGAAACCAGGTGGGGCTTTATACCAAGTAGAGACATCTACGTCTGCAGCTTGAAATACAAGGCAAAGACGTTAGATAAGGGAGTAAACYGTTAAATGGGAAATCCCCTGCTCTGTGTTTTCGACTTTCCTCCATTTCTCTTCTGATTATGGTGTGATTTCAGACCAGGTATTTTCCCTCTTAACTCAACAGGCCACCAACTGTAACATCAGCACTGGTTCACTCATACAACCGCCACTTTATTTGAGACCATTTATCAGCTGCCATTAGGTAAAACAAAACTAAGTAAAACTAAATAAAATGTCCCTGTTTCCTATTTCATTCACAGTGTTATTTTCCTCCTGTGCTGCAATCAAACAGCTAGGAAGTAACTCATTATTTACTTTAAAATGCTTCCCTGGTAGTCTGGGTCTCCCATACAATGRCATTATAGAGTCTAATTAGCATGAAAGCTCTTTGCTGTTGATTAAATAAAAGGTATAAAAAGGGTACGGCTATTTTCACTTTGAAATTTAGGTTGAATTTACGAGGAAGTGCTGCAATAAGATTAATTCCCTAGAGTTTTTTTGTTTTATCGAGAGCAAATTTGTCTGCTTACCTCCTCTCCTCCTTTTGGCTTCTGGCTCACAACAGAGAGCATCAATCTTCCTGTGGCCCTCTTCTGGTCTATCAGCAGATTTATAATTCACCTCAGAACCTCTGTCTCTGCAGCTATCTTACCCTATCCCACATTGCAACTGTGCATTGCCAGACGTCTTAAAAAATTGATGCCGAGATACATCACAGAGATAAGAAGAGCAGGCTTCGGTACAGATGGTGGAGTTGAGCAAGTGTCTGAATTTGTGCCATTTGTGCACACATATGTGTGCCCAATATATTGTAACAGAATTTTGTGCAGACACAGAGGATTATTAAGAATATTGAAAGGATAGCATATGCACGTAAGTACCATCACTCTGCTGTTTATCCTCAGAAATCTCTTTTTCACCATCCAGAGAAGACAAAGCTGTTTACTGCTTTTTTTACCCTGGCGTATCATCAGCTCGGATGGCCCTCGTTAAGGCGGCACAGCAGGGCAGAAAACGCAGATGGAAGAGAGAAAAAAGCCCCAAGGGGTCTTCGCTGTGAGAGATACAAGCCTCTTTCTTCAAAATGTCTCTATTTGTGCCTAAATGGGTGGTGTGTCAGCCAGAACTCCAGTGGTTCCATGTCAGTGCGTCCACACGCTCTGCCCTGCTAACGTAGATCCATCCAGGCCTTTATCGTCTGGAAGGCATTGTGGGAACTGCTTGGCTGGACCATGTGATGCCTTCCAAAGTCTGTTGCATTGCCAACTGTGCTAAATATAGCTCTAATCTATTACTCTTAATACCTGTAGGTACTTGCTTCCATGGTTTRGAGTCCTTCAGGGGGAACAGAAAACAGTTAACCTCCATGTTGGATCATAAAACAAGTCCATGGACCCGTCCTACTTATAATACCCCTGACATTTCCATGGTTTTGGTGTTTTCCACTGCTCTACTTCCTTCTGAACCTGTCAAGTTAAACTTAGAATCCTCTTCTCAGGTGCCTGTGTGGTAATATTTATGTTTTATCACTGCTGCTGCTACTGTTGTTCTTGTTCCTCAAGACAATA